TATGGCAAGCTGTATTTGCCAGGCCCCAGCCAAAAGAAAGTCCTTAAAATCCTTCACCACACTTTTGACTTGGGAAATGATAAATCTTATCAATGTGCTCAAGAATTGTTTGCAGGCGGGAAACCTCTAACTGAGTTAAGCATGTAACCTCTCTAGCTCACTTCCAGCAAAAATGAGCAAAACTAGCAGAAGCCCATCCTCAGGAAACAAACCACCTTTATCTAACCCAGGAAATTTGGAATTAGTAAAAACTCTCATCTTGTCGCCTTCCCTAAGCCAAGCTAAAAAGGGCCCTGCACTGTTCTTCTTTCAATCCCCCGGGCAGCAAAAGTTACAGGAATCTGCTTCTGAATACATCACGCTCAAGTCAAAGCCCAGAAAGCTAAAAAAGCAACCCTTAACAGCCACCCCCCAAATATCCTAAACCACAAAGTAAAAAATAGAAAATCTTCAGCTAAAAATTATAAAAAATAAGTAACTAAGGGCCACTCCTCTTGCTCAGTCCCACTCCTACCTCACCAAATAGTTGTCATTATTTCTAACCTTTCCTCACAAAGTTCACTGCCACATAGTAAAACTTCTTTTTAGTGCATATTTGCAGGAATATTTAATTATTCATAGAAGCGCATTTGTAACTTTATAACTCCCCAAAGGAAAATGTCTTCGTAAGTAAAGTTTTATACACACACACACACACACACACACACGTATAAAAAATTGCGTTTTAGGTTTTGGGGTACATGTGAAGAACATGCAGGATTTTTGCATAGGTACATACATGGCAGTGTGGTTTGCTGCCTTCCTCCCCATCACCTATGTCTAGCATTTCTCCCCATGTTATCCCCCCCAACTCCCTGCCCCCTGCTCTCTCTCCCCTAGTCCGCAGTCTCACAGACCCCAGTGTGTGATGCTCCCCTCCCTGTGTCCCTGTGTTCTCATTGTTCAACACCCACCTATGAGTGAGAACATGCGGTGTTTGATTTTCTGTTCTTGTGTCAGTTTGCTGAGAATGATGGTTTCCATTTTCATCCATGTCACTACAAAGGACACGAACTCACCATTTTTTATGGCTGCATAGTATTCCATGTTGTATATATGCCACATTTTCCCAGTCCAGTCTATCATCGATGGGCATTTGGGTTGTTTTAGACAAAATTATTTACTATGCCACTCATGAAAACCGTTGCAGTCCTGCTACTATTTGCGATAAAACGATACACAGCGGCACCCGCAAGGTAGAATTCTGGTTGTAAATTCTAATTGCTGTAATATTTTGCCGATTATCATCCTTATAACAAAATTAATAATTTCAGAAAATATTAGTCAAGGTCGTTATGCTTATAGCAGAAGTAATAGTCATGAATAAAAAGCAAGCATAGAAGTTCACTATCCTTAAGTTTAGTAAAACTTTTTATATTAGTTTGTAATATAATGCACTCTAAGCTATAAAAAGATTATTGAAATTTTTATATAGAGCAGGATTTTGTATGGTAGATACTGTCATAAAGGGAAATACACGGTTGTTTAAAGGAAGAATATTTAGGACAAGTCAAGAAGTTTAAGTATGTTCTAAGAGGGTCTGTGAAAGTCATAAAGAAATTTAATAGTGAAAAAATGTCAAAATTAACGCTAAGATTATTTTAACCACCCAATAACACATTTCTCCCAATCATATTTCCAGTTGTAAAAATGGCCGAAGCCTAAAGTTATTATCTAATGGCAAATTAAGGGGGAAATGCGTGCTTTTCTCTAGGTAAAAGTTACTTTCATAGTAAGGTTTCTGGCGATGGACAGCGACATCTAGTGGAGGCAAGCCTGTATTGCAGCCCATTGGTGTAACTAACAGGTGTTAAACTCCACTGTCAGTTACAGTCTGTAGGGTCTCCACTAACAATGGTGATTTTTTTTTCTTTTTCTTTCTTTCTTTTTTTTTTTTTTTTGAGAAGGAGTCTTGCTGTGTTTCTCAGGCTGGACTGAAGTGGCACAATCTCATCTCACTGCAGCCTCCACCTCCTGGGTTCGAGCAATTCTCCTGCCTCAGCCCCCCAAGTAGCTAGGACTACAGGTGCGCGCCACCATGCCCAGCTAATATTTGTGTTATTGGTAGAGACGGGATAGATCACTCTAACAATCGAGGAAATTGCATTTCTCCTATTTCTCTCTCGTCTGATGCTTCCTGAGTATACTGAGTTCACTTTCATTGGAGGCTGCTCTCTACCTTCTCCTGCTTCTTCCTTCTTTGCTGGGTCAGATGATGCTTCTTCAGGTGTTACCTGAGAGCTTTCCATTTCCAGGAAGGCTACCCCCAATTCTTAGGGGAAAAAGTGGTTCCTCCTTTGTGTTTAACCACCACTAAAATTCCGGTAGCATCATCCTATTATTAGGTTGTGTTGGTTTTCAGATTCAGAATCTGTTAAAGGCAGTGACAGAGTGTAACTCATTTCCACACCACCCATTTCCTGCGTGAGATGTGGCACACCAGAGACCCAGGAGGTGTTTTCTGAATGAATCTAGGAATAAAAAAATACCAGGATCCCTCAGGGCTGATAGAGTCTAAAACCTCATATGGAGAGTCTAGAACATTAGAACATGAACCAGGGAATGTGCCAGATGTTTAAGGACCTTCACAGCAATCCTAGCAATTATTCATAAAGCAGCTGTCATTACTGAGCATAGTTTATCAGGTTATTTCTAGGCATATAATGAAAATAATAATAGAAAAAATAGCCCACATTATTGAGTGACTGCTAAGAACATGGTAGCATTTCACTTTGTACATCACATGTATTAACCATGTAGTTCCTTGCCAAAACCATATAAGGTAGATACCAGCACTATTCTAAGTTTATATATGACACAATAATAATGTGGGTAATCTTCCCTAAGTCGCATAGTTAAAAGGGGCAGAGCTGTGATGAAATCTCAGGCTTCCAGGATCCAGAGTCTTCCTTGTTAGTTCAACTGCTTGTTTCCTATGAGAAGTAGAATATAACAATCTCTGATTGTCAGTCCACCCTATATCCTTATAAAGAAGACACTTTCATTACTGCAATTTCACAGAAATGCAAAGTGAGCCTCAGAGAGGCAAAGTGACTAGGAATAAACAAATACCTGCATCTCTCAGGGCGACAATCTCTGTCAAGCTACCAAATATCCTTACAAAGAAGACACAAAAAGAGAAAGAGATAGCAAGAGGCAGCTGTAGGTTTTGAAAGTACTGTGATGTAACTCCAAACCTGTTGCTTTTTAGTCAATACCCTGTAACTGGTTTCCTGAGCCTGGTCTGGAAAGAGACGACCTGAGATGGATGAGGAAGAACCACCTCCCAGTACCACCCTGGGCCATGCTTGTGGTCGTCCTGCTAGGTGAGCTTCTGAACTCCATTCCTATTCAGAATCCATGGAGTGGATGTGTCTTTTTTCAATTTATTCTGACACACTCACTAAATATTTATTAGGTTTCTTCAGGGAATCTCTATTTGGGAGTCTCAAAGAGGGACCCCAGCTTGTATAAATGTATCAACTAACATAACAGAAAACGGTGGAAGCATTATCCACGTCCCTGCAGAGGACATGAGCTCATCCTTTTTTATGGCTACACAGTATCCCATGGTGTATATGTACCACATTTTGTAGCCAGTCTATCATTGATGGGCATTTGAGTTGGTTCCAAGTCTTTGCTATTGTGAACAGTGCCGCGATAAACATACGTGGAAACCACCATTCTCAGCAAACTGACATAAGAACGGAAAACCAAACACCGCATGTTCTCACTCATAAGTGGGTGTTGAACAATGAGACAATGTTGAACACATGAACACAGGGAGGGGGACATCGCACTTCAGGGCCTGTCAGGGAGGGGGGAGCAAGGGGAGGGAGAGCAGGGGGTGGGAGGATTGGGGAGGGATAGCATTAGGAGAAATACCTAATGTAGATGCTGGGGTGGTGGATGCAGCAAATCACCATGGCATGCATATGCCTGTGTAACCTGCACATGCTGCACATGTACCCCAGAACTTAAAGTAAAATAAATAAATAAATAAATAAATAGCAAATAAAGAGTAGAAGGAGGAGGAAGAGGAGAAGGAGGAGGAAGAGGAGTAGGAGGAAGAGGAAAAGGAGGAGGAGGAGGAGGAAGAGGAAGAGGAGGAGGAAGAGGAGAAAGAAAACAGTGGAAGCAGTGTTGGCTCCTAGACTCTGACCGTGGTGCTGAAACTACAGAGCACGGCAACATCCCAGTCAGCACCATGGACAGCGACCACAAGAGCCACTTTCCTGGGACTGGGTCCTGATAGAGGAAATAGGAAGAGGGTCTAGATACAGAGCCAGGTGTGTTGGAGACCCTGAGTAGGAGCCACAACTGAACAGGATGTGGGGAAGCTGAAGAGGTAGATGACGTCTAGCTGGACCATGGAATGTTGCTATCTGGATAGGCAATTATTTTTCTACTCTACACCAGGGTAGGCAGAGAGGAAGCCAAGATGGAAGCATCCTGGAACTTCGTTGTTATACAGAATACTGACTTTTCTTCGTTGCTTATGAGTGTATATTATGAATGGAATAAGGTTTGAGTATGATTATCCCGTAGACTAAAATCTGTTTTTGCAAGGTTCTTCAGAGAAATTGAACCAACAAGATGTTTGTTTATGTATATACCTGTCTGTCTAAGTATCTATTTATTTCTCTAGGAGTGTACATTATGAGTGCAATGTGGCTCCATTTACCGTGGGCCAACTTTTGTTCCATGTTTTAGCCAATAAACCAGCAGGCTGTTGGAGCCACGTCTGGCTCACTGAGATGCAGCATTAAATGCAGGGTCTCTTCTTAGTAGGTCCCTATCAATAACATTGACCTGGCTCATTTTTATCTTCCTTTTGCCATTATCCAAACCCTTCATGTCCATTTGCACACGTGTTCTCTAGATTTGTATGTTTATAAATCAGAAAAACTTAGTAGTCACTTTGCAGTGTAGCACATTTCCTCATGGATCACACACTCAACCTATGGCTTAGAAGCAAAGATGGGTAGTGGGGGTGGATCCTGAGGAAAATTGGCACTGTCTTGCATGGCAACTGCCTGGGGGGGCATTACTGTTTCCTCAGATAGTGCAGGGTTAATCTTCTCAGAGGCGGGTGAAGGGAATGCTTTCATTGTCAAAGAACAGAATTAGGGAGCTCACTGTATTTACCATCTCAGGGTCTTTCACGTATCCCTATTCCAAATCTCAGGATTTCACACCTTCCCAATCAATGGCCTCAGAGTAGACACCTTTGAGGCTGGGAATTCCATTTGCAGTGTAGTTTCTGAGAGACCCCACCCCCACAGGACTTCCCTCCTGTTTCAGGAAAATCCTCTTATGTGCAGAGGTAACACCCTAAGGTTAGGGAAGGACTTCCCCTCATGTGTCCAGGAACACCATGTGTCTAAGTGCTGTTAAGAGGGAGCCTCTTGTATGTCTGGACTTGTGAGTTCCTCAGTGTGACTGCAGCCTCAGGTAGGACCAGAAAGTAAGCCAGTTAGGTTGGAGAGGTGGGCAGGGGTCAAGTGAAATGGAGAACTCTGTGTTAAGCAAAGGAGTGTGTTTTCTCTCCAGCAGGCAGTGGGGACCACAGACATTTGTAAGCAAGAGCGGACAGGAGACAACTTTCAATCTGGGCTCGCCATTTGGGATTTCCATGTACACACTGGTTTCTGTTGGGGGTCTCCTGGGCCTCTGAGAAGGGCGAGTGATTTTTCTCTGCATGAAAACGCAGTGATCCAGCTGTGTGTATGTCACCTCCTGAGGGTCTTGTCCATCAGAGTCCTGGAAAGAGGGAAATGTTGAGTGAGGGAGGGGCTCACATTCTTCGGGACTATTAGGGAATAAGACTCCATCCCCGAGGCCGGGCCAAGGAGGACCTATCTCCCTGTTCACTGTTCTGTCCGCCCCAGGCTCTTGGTCCATTACAGTAGCATCTGGAGGAGACAGAAGTCATCAAAGCACCTGGGAGGACACTTCTGGGTCCTCATTTCATGTGCAGACACCAACACACAGTGGGAGGCCATGGGTGCCTGAGGCCCCTCAGCTGCCAACAGCCAGATTCAGACATTCTATCTGAGTACCAGGACCCCTCCCATGAAGAGCTCTCAATTCCCATCCCATTGATTCTGAGCTGAAGGCAGGGGCAGGGTGTCTGGTGCTCTCTCTAGAAAGCCCTGCCTCTGCGGCTCCTGCCTTGGGCCAGAGAGCATCCTGCCAGTGAGGAACACACACCTGCGTGCTCCCATCCTGCTTCCCCACACGGCCCTGAGGTCTCTGGCCTCTGCTTCATGAGACTTACTCTTTTTGTTGGGCCACCAGCGATGAATGAGAAAGAAGAGGAGGAGGATGAAGAGGATGATGGCTACTGAGGACCCAATCAGAACGTGCAGGTGTCTGGGGTTACCTGGAAGGAGACGGGAATCCAATAAGAAGCTGACCACGGCAGCTCCTCTTCATGGATTGTCTCTCATCTCTTGGTTGCCAGGTAACCACCTGCAACGTCTCTTTAGAACCAGCACCCCAGTGGTAGGTGACCCAGCTTTCTGTTATAGTTCTCACGATAATCAGAGAATGTGCTGGAGATACCACAGCTACACTTTGAAAGTCTGACCCCCTCCAAACCTCACACTGATATTTAACTCACAGTGTGGAGTTTGGGCCTTTTGTGAGGTGTTTCCGTTATGGGGGTCCATCCATCATGAATAGATTAATGCTGCCCCCATGAGACGGGGTTAGCAAGTTTTCTGTTAGTTCCCTGAAAGCTGGTTGCTAAAAACAGCTTGGAGGCTCCACCGCCTCATCTCGCTCCCTCTCGTGCCATGTGGTCTCTGTGGTCTCTGTACACACAGGCCCCCTTCCTTCTGCCACAGTGGGAGCAGCCTGAGGCGTCACAAGAAGTAGATGCTGGTGCCATGCTTCTAGTACAGCCTGTAGAACGTGAGCCAAACACATCTGTTTTCTTTAGAAGGTACCCAGGCTCAAGGGCGCTTTGATAGCAACGAAAATGGACGAAGACAGCAGCGTCCTGAGATCAGGAGGAACGTCCCAGAACAGCCTGGGCTCTCCTCCTGCTCTTCCTCGAGGAGGGTGTGATGCTTTAGCTCAGTGCTTCCTGTTGCTCCAGGGTGCAAAACCCAGGCGGGGCTGCTTTTCGGTTCCCCCAGCTACACTGCATATGGGGTGACTCCGTATGTCCTGGGCAGCTTTTCTAAGCCTCGGGGGACTGGCTCGCCCTGAAAGTTAGGCTTCTGCTGTCACTTGCTGCTGATCTGTGAGTAGTGAACCTGCCTTATGTAATTTATTCTGTCTGTGTTCTGTCTCCCAGGAGTGACTGTCAGGGATAGAAACTGGCATAGCCCCAGGTGCAGTCCAGGAGGTGTTCAGAGTCTTCTCTAGGAAGACTGGGCTGGGATTGACACACAGTCAGTGTGCTTTACAACTTCTGCATCCACAACACTCTCGACTCAGACAAATTACATTCTCCAAGAAAAGGGGGAAAAAATGAAACTGAAATCAAAAGAAGTGAAGTAGAACTGTCTTACATCAAACAGCCAGGAAATAGGGTGGAAGCCCATGGGCAACGTGCCACTTTTTGTGATCTCATGAAATGTATAATAGGCTGCTGTTCTACCCGAGAGCCGGGGAAGGAACAACCCCCTCCATCATCTATTGCTTCAAAATACAGCCTGTCTGGCCGGGCGCGATGGCTCAAGCCTGTAATCCTAGCACTTTGGGAGGCCGAGGTGGGTGGATCACGAGGTCAAGAGATCGAGACCATCCTGGTCAACATGGCAAAACCCCGTCTCTACTAAAAATGCAAAAAAAAAATTAGCTGGGCACGGTGGCATGTGCCTGTAATCCCAGCTACTCAGGAGGCTGAGGCAGGAGAATTGCCTGAACCCAGGAGGTGGAGGTTGCGGTGAGCCGAGGTCACGCTGTTGCACTCCAGCCTGGGTAACAAGAGTGAAACTCCGTCTCAAAAACACACACACACACACACACACACACACACACACACACACACACACACAAACAAAATACAGCCTGTCCTTCTGTGAATTAGCAGGAAAGGGGGCCAGGAGATAGTGCTGGCTTTGGTCTCTGAGACGAAGAACTGAGCTCACTCCAAAGAATATTAGGTTTTACCTCCCCATAATCTATCTGTATCTCCACACGTGATTGGAAGTAGGGGTGAGGTGGGGGATTTGGGTGAGGGGGCAAGTTTTATGCCATGAAGAGAGCACTTTCTCTATTTCAGGACCTGTGCTGGTGGGTTGAGGGCTTTCCCATTTTCCATATGATCTCATGCTCACAGAAAGCCACATAGGGAAGAGGTTCTAGGCTGATTTTCTAATGTATAAGATTAGGGATCAAAAAAGTCATTATGGAGAAGTGGAAAAATGACTGGAATTCAGGTGCCGTTGTCATTTGTGTGCGTTATGTAATATTTACATATTTTTTAATTTTAGTTTTCGAAATGGAGCCTCCCTGTGCAGGCTGGAGTGCAGTGGTGCAATCTCGGCTCACTGCAACCTACGTTAGGTATTTCTCCTAATGTTAACCCTCCCCACCCCTGCTATCACTCCCCTGAGCTACCCTTGCTTTTCAAAAGCAAAATAAAAAAATAATAAAAACCAGTGTGGTCATGATATATCGTCTATTTTACAGAGACATGAATCTTACTTGCTAATATTTGTTAAGGGATTTAAATTTCTTTGAGAGATCTCCTATGACTTTCCCATTCTGTAGTTTCCTTGTCAGGTTTTGGTATCGATTTGTTCCTAGTCTGATAAAATTTATTTGTGTAAATATATACAAAATATTCTCAGGGAAAATTTATGCAAGTTTGGGGTATGGGGTGTGTGTGTGTGTGTGTGTGTGTGTTTCTTGAGTGCATAAGAGTTTGAAAAAGCCACCAACAAACCTTCCTGAAGTGACATTTACCTTGTGAGAACATTTTTGATTGCAGGATTCATACATTTTATATATGTTTACATATGATGATTCAGATTTTCTATTTATCCTTAAGTTCATTAAATAAACTGTAGTGTTGAATATTCATCTATCTCATCTGCATTTTCTGTTATGTCCGTGCAGAACTGCTCAGTTTCCTTTCACCTTTGTAAAGCTGTGTGTAGGGTCTGTCGTGCTGCCTCCTATTTTGTTCCTGTATGGAAATGTGTGCCTGCTTTTTTTTTTTTTCATTGTGGCCAAGATTCATGTATCATTAATGTTTTCAAGAATAAACCTTATCACTTTATTACTTTTTCTCTATTTTTCCTTTGTCCTCGTTAGAAGCTCCTACTATCCCATGTCACTGGTTTGATGTGTAATATTTACATGATCAATCAATTTAAAACCATTTTCAGACTTCTGTTTTGTTTTACCAGTTAACTCATTGTGAGCTGAGAGGTCTGCCTCTTTATTTTGATAATACAGGGATCCTATTTATCTTTGCAGAATCAGGTGACTCCCAAAGCTCCTAGAATCTTCCAGTGGTCTATGTTAGGGGTTCAGGCTGGCTGGGGTTCAATGGTGCCGACTGGGGGAAGCTTCCATGCCTTCTGGGGTCCTGAGTCTTCATGGTGTGTAGAGACTGGGTCCTCCCTGGACTAGTGGACAGCCAGAGTGGCGTAGATGCTGTGCTCAGCTGGGGGCTCCCCTGCCTGGGACGAAGGAGGCTCAGTTGCCTCCCGTTTAAGGGTCAAGCTGTGCAGCTGGGCATAGGTCACATCCTGGGGGGCTTCAGATGCAGCAGCCTGCAGAGGGGGGAGAATGAGAGGGAAGGTGTGTGGTGGAGGTGAGAGAGGAAAGGACCTGCCTGACTGACCTGACTGTCCTGCCTGTCCTTTTCTGCTTGTGTGTCCCTTGTGCTCAGGAATTCCCCAGACAGGGGAAAGAGGGGAGGCCATTTCTCTCCTGGGTCTGGAGTGATTCACCTTAGCATAGGTCACTGCGTGGGGGTCTTCATCATGTGGGCTGTCCTGGAGAGACAGTGGTGGGGGGTGTCCTTGAATCCCCCTGACTTCCTGGAGTAAATTTTTCCCACTGTTCCCAGAGTGATCCCATTACATCCCTTTCCTGATGGAATCTCAGGGCGCCCTAAGGCTGTGGAGGGTCTGGCTGCTCCCTCCCTGAGGTTCTGGCCTCTCCTCCTCACTCTGACCTTGCCCATTTGGCTGCAGCCTCACGCCCGCCTTCCCGCAAGAGCTCACTGTGACCTCGGGGCCTTTGCATTAGAGGACGTCCATTAGAGGATGGTGTGGCCCTCTCTGTCCAGGCTTCTCAGATGACAGCTGACCAGACAGCCCTCGCCTTACCATTCAGACTGGCCCCACTGCCCCACACTCTCTGCCCTTTCCCTGGTTTGTTTTTCTTATAGCACGTGGCACTCCTGGACACTGTGTTTATTTGCATTTTGTCTCCCACTGTGAGGTGAGCTCATGAGGGCAGGGGCGGCTTTGCTCCCTGCTGTGTCTGCAGCTCCCATGGGGAGCCCCATCCACAGGGAGCTCCTGGGAACACTCGCTGGGTGAATGAATTAAGGGAAGCCCAAGGCACCAGGGTGGTTCATTCCTCATCCTCCTGAGGCCTGGGGATCCCTCTAACAACCAGATGGCCAAACAGAGGACGAGGAGCAGGAAGGGGACCCGGGAGGAGGCCCACGAGGTCCCAGGACACCAGGAGAGAGTGAGGTCACAGCAGGCGGGAGGCAGCATGCTGGACACGGAGGGTCCACCCTGGATGTTGCTGAGAGCCAGGGAAGGAGGACAGAGAAGTCCTGCTGGATTAGATCCAGCACCAGGAGGCCTTTGGTGCCCGGAACAGGGGCGGGGTCTCACCCGAGTGTCCAGCTCCACCTCGTCCTCAGGCTGTGTGTCCTTCACGGCAGCATCTGCTGGGCAGAGCAAGGGGATTGTCTCCTGGGAAGGTTCCCTGGGACCTCTCAGCCCCGCCAGCCCCTGCCCAGCTCCCAGATGGGGCCACTGAGATCCAGGGAGGGGCTGTAATGTCTCAAGGTCCCACAGTGTGGGGTGAGATCCTGTCACCCTAAGCCCCAGACCCCTTCCAGCCTGTGCCCTTTCCCCATTGCTATGGAAACTGTGGGTCCCCATCTCCCTCCTGGCTGGGGTCACCTCTTCCTGTCACTCACAGAGAGTTTCTTCCTGGGTGTCGGCAGCTGGGCTGGACCTGATGGAGGACACGGGAGCTTTAGGGGCAGTGTATGGGCCAAGGCGGGTGGGAGTCTGGGGTCTTCAGGCAGAATTACCTCCTCTGCAGGCCTCCGCCTGTGGGTTCTGGCTCCACAGCCCCTGCAGGATGTTGGAAAGCAGCCTCTCTCTGGGCTGTGTGAAGAAGGACAGAGTCTCAGCCCTGGGAACACCTGCCCTGCACACGCAGCTCGAAGGTAAGGAAGGAAACCTGGACACACTCCTGCTTCCATGCTCCAAATGTCTCATAAGGTGGAGAGAGCCCGAAGGACACTTTACATTTGTATGTGGGGACTGACACTAAGTGCTTTCTCCATTTGCCTGGTGAGAAGTGCTAGAACAGTTTCTCAAAGCTGCGTTTTCCCAGCAGTTTGGATTCTCTCTGGCCGGTGCCCTGAGCCCACCCTTGGTTGGCCCACGGGGTCCCCCCTTCTATACTCACCTGATGTCCAGTGTTTGCCCTGATGCTGATATCGGAGGACGAGGAAGAGGAGGAGGAAGAGGAGCAGGATGAAGGCCACTGAGACCCCGGTCACAACCCCCAGGTTCCTTCCCAGACCTTGAGCATGAGGACGTCAGGAATGGGGTGGTGTCACTGATTGAGCGCCTACTGTGTGCACGTGACTGCTCGGCCTCTTGTTCACCACCTCCAACCCCCACTACAGTCGAGCAGCATGGAATTGACACATCCACCCCACCCACTATACAGACCAAAAAACTGAGGCTCAGAGAGGGGAGTCGCCTGCCCCAGGCCCCCCAGCCAGACAGTGGCAGAGTTGGGAAGGGAACCCGGGAGTCTGACGTGCAGCCCTTGTTCCCTGCACCTGAGCTGAGCCCCGGAGCTGCAGGGAAGGAGCCTGACCTCCTGAACCACAGCCCTGCTCCCCTCCCCTGCCCCAGGTAACTGTCACCGTCACTGCTGCAGGTGGGACAGGACAGGCCCCTGACAAATCGGGTCTGGAGGCTTCCCTAGGTGGCCTCCTCTCCCAGGAGGTCACAGCTGAAGTCAGAGCTGAAAAGAACTTTCCCATCCTGCAGGCCTCTCTCTTTTACACTTGGAGAAACTGAGGCCTAGGTGGGGGATGGGGGGCCTGTCCATGTCACCATCTCCAGAGGAACCTTAATCCAATGACAGAACCCACCCCTGCCACCCCTGGACCCTGGCCACCTGCCACTCAGAGACCCTCACTCACCACTTTGGGGATCTGAATCTGGAGGAGTGACAAGCTGGTCGCCAGGGCCTCGTGGGTCAGGACGCAGAGGTGAGGGCTGGGGCTGTCCCTCTCCTCATGTCAGCCCAGCTGCCCCTCACCCAGGCTGGACCCCAATGTCTCCCTCTACCTCGAGCCCCCATCCCTCAGCAGCCCAGCCTCAGAGCCCCTGGGAGCCTGTGCCCCGCTCTGTCTCTGCCCAGCTCCTGGAGGAGGCCTGCGCTGAGTCCTTGAGGGGAAATGGATCCTCTGGGAGACTCGGGACTGCCCTGGGGGAGGCCACACTCCCTCCCAAACAAGAGGCCTCAGTCACTCACCAGGTGTGGGGGTGGGACCGGTGGGTGAGGGGCTGGGGCCCCAGGAGGGTCCTGGGTAAAGAATGAGAGGAGATTGAGGAGCTGGGCCTTCCCTGAAGCCTGCACGTCAAACAAACTTGCTCCACATCGGCCCTGTGGCCCCCTCAGTCCCCTCCCCTATGGCCTCTCCTCTTCATGATGCTGGTGAAGCCGCTGAGGGTGGGTGTGCCTGGGAGGGCCCCATTGTCCTCTTTCCCTCTGAGGGCTGAGGCCGCTCTGGCTGAGCCTCCTTCAGACCCACCTCCCTCCGTCCCAGCCCAGAGATCTCTTGGGTCAGGGCCTGAACTGAGCCTTTGAGCTTAGAGAGGACAGGATCAGGGCCCTCACCTGAAACCATGAGCTCCAGGGGGTCACTGGGGTGAGACAGCAGGTAGGGGTTGGAGGTGTATGAGCCATAGCACCTGTAGGTCCCCGAGTGGGCTGAGGTCACAGGACTCATGGGGAATTCAGCCTGGTCCCTATCAGATTGGTGCTTTGATCTTAGACATAGAGGGGCATCAGCTGCTCCCTCCTTGGTCAGAAGGAAAGTGTCCATCCACCTCTGTGACTGACACAGCAGGGTCACGTTCTCTCCTGAGGCCACCGTGGAATTCGGCTGCACTGAGAGGGAGGGTCTGCCAGGGATCTGTCCTGGAGAGAACAAGGATGGTGAGGGGCTGCCCGCCTTGTTCTGAGCTGAGACCTCCCCAGGCCTCTCTCTGGGGCCCTCAGTCTCTGTTTTCTCTGAGTCTCCCCCTCCCTGCACATCCCCTGTCTCTGTCTGTCTCTCCCTCCCTTGGGACTCCCACCCCTCATCCCAGCCATCACCATCTGGGCTCCCCCAGCAGGACCTGTGCAGAGCCTGGGTCTCTGACTGAACCCGCTGGGCTCCTCACCTGAGATCAGGACGTCCAGGGGGTCACTGGGGGCCGACTGCTCGGAGGAGACGTTGTGGGCACCGGAGCATCTGTACTGGCCCCCGTGGGAGACCCTCACAGGGCTCAGGGTGAAGTTGGCCTGGGAGAGCCCAGCCTGGGTCTGCCGGCCAGGGCGCTGGAGGAGGTCAGGCCCCCAGTCCTTGTACAGAGCAAACCTGTCATAGCCGACATCAGAGCCACACTGGAGGGTCAGCCTCTCCCCAGGGGCCACGACAGGCCCCGGCTGCACTGAGAGTGATGGCTTCTCAGAAGCACCTGGGAAAGGTGGTCATGGTCTCCAAAAGCCGACCCTCAGGCTCCCCACAAATCCTCCCTTTCCCCCAGCCTCACCACTGCTGATCTTCCTGTGCCTCTGGCCCAGGAGCCCTGAGCCCTCTCACCCCAATATTGTCCCACCTGGAGCTGCCCTGAGACGCGGCTCCTCCCCACCTGCCCGGAGACTCAGGGATCTCCAGACAATGCTGTGAATTTCTCACCTGGGACCCGGAGCTCCAGGAGATCACTGGGTGAAGACCACACATAGGGAGAGTGAGAGTCATAACCATAGCACCTGTACGTCCACCTGCGACTGGGGCTCACGGGGCCCACGGAGAAGACGGCCCAGGACGACCCACGGGTACGGGGCTGGGAGCTCAGGCATGGTGAGTGTTCATCTTCTCCTTCCTTACACAGAGTGAAGTGATCAAATGGCACCTGTGAGCGACACCGGAGGGTCACGCTTCCTCCTGGGGTCACCACAGGGCTGGGCAGTGCTAAGAGGGTGGGTTTGCTGTAGACTCCTAGGAGAGAAGGAGGCCCCGTGTTAAGTGGGGCTCACACCTCCCACATCATCCCCAGGGCTAGGCTGTGAGAGGGAGATGCCCCTGAGTACAGAGCCCCTTCCTAAGGGCAGAGCCTGGGGCTGGGACCCCTGAGTGTCTCTCACCTGTCACCATCAGCTCCAGGGGGTCACTGGGCTCTGACCAGCCAGTGTGGCTGTAATACCGACAGTGATACTGCCCTGCGTGTTCCCAAGTAATGGACTGGATGGGGAACTGGCCCTTCTTCACAAGCTCCCGTGGGATCCACTTAATCCAGGATGCTGATGCTTTTTCTTTATTTAGACGGTACTCCTGGGTCTCCAGGCTCCCCTGACATCTGAGGGTCACAGGACTCCCCTTGGTGATCACAGAGCCTGGCTCAGCCCTAAGGGTGGGCTTACGGAGGGTCCCTGGCAGGAAATCAGAGGTCAGATTCTAAGTCATTTCCACCCAACCCAACAGATTCCAGCTCTCAGTCCAGGACCCTCCAGACCCCCATCAGTCAGCCCAGAACTGCTATTCCCCTCCCCAGCTGCACGGGGGTGGGCCTTATCCCCAGTGAGGAGGAAGACCTGGGCCAGCTGGGGACAGACTCACCTGCCTGCATGTGGTTCCTGGAGCCCAGACTCAACCCTGGAAGAGAGTTCCCTGTGAGAGATTTGCCCCTGAAGCCTGAGCAGGTCTTCCCCTCCCTGGGGTCTTTGTGAGCCCCTGGGGTCTCCTCATGGACCAGTTTGGCTGTGGGGTGAGGTCCCTCCTAGGTTAGAATTTCCCCTCCCTCTTCAAATCTCACCGAGACAGATCAGGACCATGAGGATGGGGGTCATGGCATCTCCTCCCACCGCCCTGCTCTGAGGATGAATGAGCCTTCGGTGCTGGCAGGACAGAGACACACAGGGTGTGGACACTTGGTGCCTTGGTTGTTCTTGTCATGGGGTTGTGTCATCTGTAGCCACACAGAAAGCAGAACTTCCCTCCCCAGGAGCCTGGCTCTCATTTCTTTAGGGCTGAGGTTGGGGTGGGCCCAACCACTCTGCAGACATTTCAGACTGTAATGGGGTCTTTCCTGACCCCCAGCCACTGTCTGTCTGCTTTGTCCTCATCTCACTGAGAGCCGGGATGCAGCAGCAAATAGAACTGGTGCCTTCCTGTATCTGCCCTTCCAGATGAGGGTAAGCTAAGGATTCCTGTTCCTTCTCACAGCCTCCCATGAGGTCTCCCTCCCTCCTTCAGCCTGTCCATCAGCACAGCAGTGTGAGGTCATTACCACAGCTGTCATCCCTCCAGCCCTGGAGATGCTTCAGGGAAGATGCAGGTCCATGCTCCAGGCAGGCTCAGATCAGCAGAGACGCATCTCACATCTGTCTGTGTAGTCCAGGCAGAGCTGTGTGTGGCCGTGAGCCCAGAGAAGAAATGAAGGGAAACAGGGGAAGGAAAGTTGGCTTCTTTCTTGGCACTGGATTGTGGGTTTTCTTTCAACCAAATAGTTCCCATCTCAACTTCCCCTTTTTAAAAATGAGTCATCTCATCCTGCATCTGTGATTTTTCTGTTGGGTGTCTGCAGTGAGGGGCTTGGGGTCATGAAGTTTAACCTGAGAGTTTCAGGAGTTTGGTTCAGGGCAGGGCTTGTTTCTACATCATTGGCAAAAGGGTTAATTTTTTAGTGTTTTCTAGAAACAACCTAAGGCGCTTTATCAGTACCTAGGAATGTTCGAGACCTCAGCTTTGGTTCAAGTCTGCAGGTGAAACATGCATCTGTCCAGCCCACAGAGCAGTCGTGGCAGTTTGTCTCTCGGAACAAAGAAAAAGTGGAGGAAACCGTGGGACCCTAGGGAGACCGTGGCTCCCCCTCGTCTGTGTTTGTGGACAGAATCTGGGATAGCTCAGCTCAGTGACCCGGGCCACACTCAGCTCTGAGCCACCTTTTCCGCGTGCGCATGACACAGAAGTGCTTTATCATTGTTGGACCATCACCTCTCACACATGAGTGTGAGGCTCACAAGGGCCCTGCTGTGCCGGAGCTGATTCTAAGCTTGAGAGAGAGGAAACTGCAGGGCAGGAGCAGCGGCTAAAGCAAAACCTTATCAGTTTTCATTCCTGAGGTCAGCCCTAGGAGAAACTCTGTATGGAAGATCAGGTGTGTGGGAGGAAAACCACCCCAGAGAAATGAAAATCACAGAATCCAACTGGGCGCAGTGGGTCACGCCTGTAATCCCAGCACTTTGGGAGGCCAAAGCGTGTGGATCACAAGGTCAAGAGATCGAGACCATCCTGATCAACATGGTGAAACCCCATCTCTACTAAAAATACAAAAAATTAGCTGGGCATGGTGGCGCTGCCTTCCTCCCCTTCACCCACATCTGGCATTTCTCCCCATGCTATCCCTCCCCAGCTCCCCCCCACGCTGTCCCTCCCCTATTACCCCCAATAGACCCCAGTGTGTGATGCTCCCCTCCCTGTGTCCATGTGTTCTCATTGTTCATCACCCGCCTATGAGTGAGAACATGTGGTATTTCATTTTCTGTTCTTATGTCAGTTTGCTGAGAATGATGTTCTCCAGATTCATCCATGTCCCTACAAAGGACACGAACTCATCGGTTTTTATTGCTGCATGGAATATTACAGCCTCTGCTTTTAATAGTTATTTGGTTTTGCCTCTCCTCCATGTCAACTATCTTCTTGGTAATCACAGGTCTCAGAGTTAACTTTTGTTGTCCTGGCTAAATTGTTCTTTTTATATAGTTTTATCTGTGTATTTTTTCCTTCATTTTAAAGCAACTCTTAAATAGTTTCTTAACTAGGAAAAAACCTTCCTTTGTTTCAAAAAATCCACATCCTTGGATTTTATAAACTTCACCAAAAACATGTTTATGTTCCCATGATTTTAATTTAGTAACTCGAATTTCAAGCAAATTTTTTTTTTAAAAACCGAGGTTTACCATAACATGGCTTTAAGATTTTAAATTACTGGAGAGAGTATTGAGATTAAATTTGCTAAATTGATCTTACTAAATATAAATGTTATGTGAATTAAAAGGCATCTGAGCTGGTTTCTGCCAATCTGATAAGCACTTACTTTAAAAAAAAATAGATCGGCTCTTTCATGTAGTCTGGAAGTGAAATATCACCTCCAAATAACACATATAAAGATAAAGATAGAGATATAACAGGCATAAAGAATAAAAAGCACAGGTCTAAAAGGTATTTTATTTTTCTGTTTTTAAATAAAAATTCCTCTCTTACTTTAGATAATTAATAAAAGTCACAGAAGCCAACACAAGATGAAGGAGAGCCCTATCATCCAAGGCCTTTTCAAAAGAAAAAGAGTCAAACTTTGATACATTAATCACAGGAATTTAAAAAAGACACATTTTAGAATTTAAACATTAAAAACATTTTGCATGAATAATGAGTTAATATTTTAGTAAAAGCTTGTTTTTGTTTTTGTTTTGATTTGTTTGTTTGTTTGAGACAGAGTTTCGGTCTCATTACCCAGGCTGGAGTGCAATGGCATGTTCTCAGCTCACCGCAACCTCCACCTCCTGGGTTCAGGCAATTCTCCTGCCTCAGCCTCCCGAGTAGCTGGGATTACAGGCACGTGCCACCACGCCCAGCTAATTTTTTGTATTTTTAGTAGAGACGGGGTTTCACCATGTTGACCAGGATGGACTCGATCTCTTGACCTTGTGATCCACCCGCCTTGGCCTCCCAAACTGCTGGGATTACAGGCGTGAGTCACCGTGCCCGGCCCTTCTTGTGTATTTTTTTTTTTCTTAAGAGGGAAAAAGAGAAAAAGAAGGGGAAAAAAAGAAAAAGAGGGAAAAAGGAATATTACTTCATTCCTAAAATGGGTTTTAATAATGGCCGATCAATATTTTGAGTGTTTAAAGTGGTTAATGCATATTTTATGTGTTTAAAATGGAGACCTCTATTGTGTTTATTTGTTCTGGCTCTGAGTTCAAGTCCTGGATATCGTTATCAATTTGTTGTCTCGTTGAATCTAAATCTCATTATGTGTCTTATGTATCTGGGTGTTAAGATCTCTTATTGTTGCATTAATCCTTTTACCCTTGCATCCTTGTAACTTTGAGATCTATTTATTAAGTGTGAGAATTGCAACTCCTGCTTTTTATTTATTTATTTTTGCTCTCCATTTAGTTGGTGAGTTTTTTTCCATCCCCTTGTTTTGAGTCTTTGTATATCTTTAGATATATCATTAGATTTTGTGGATAATGAATATTTTGTGTTTAAAATGGCGAGCTCTACTGAGTTTATTTGTGCTGGATCTTAGTTCCAGTCCCGGATATCGTTATCAATTTTCTGTCTCGTTGAATCTAAATTTCATTATGGGTCTTATGTATCTGGGTGTTAAGATCTCTTATTATTACATTAATCCTTTTACCCTTGCTTGTATCCTTGTAGCTTTGAAATCTATTTTGTCAAATGTGAAAATTGCAACTCCTGCTTTTTATTTATTTATTTTTGCTCTCCATTTGGTTGGTATGTTTTTTTTCCCAACCCTTTATTTTGAGTCTATGTATATCTTTGGATATACCGTTAGATTTTGTCTGTATCTTTTGATTGGGAGATTTGGTCGATTTAAATTTAGGGTTGCTGCCATTTGATATTAACTGGCTATTTTGACCTTTTGTTGATGAAAATTCTTCTTTATGTTAATGCTCTTTACTTTTTGGTGTATTTTTAGAAAGGGTCATACTGGTTGTTCCTTTCTGTGTATAATGCTTTTTAGAAGTTCTTGTAAAGCAGGCCTGGTGGTAATAAAATCACTGAGTACTTGCTTGTTCCTAAAAGATTTTATTTTTCCTTCAAATGTAAAGCTTAAATTGGCAGGATATGAAATTCTGGGCTGAAAGTTCTGTTGATTAAGTATATTGAATATTGGCCCCCACTCTCTTCTAGCTTGTAGGGTTTCCGTTGAGAGATCTGCTGTAAGCCTAATAGGCTTACCTTTATGGGTAACTTGATTTTTCTCTCTGGCTGCCCTTAATATTTTCTCCTTCGTTTCGATCTTGGTGAATCTAACGATTATGTGCCTTGGGGTTGGTCTTCTTGAGGAATATCTTTGTGGTGTTCTCTGTATTGCCTGGGGTTGAATAGTGTCCTGCTTTGCTAAATTAGGAAAATTTTCCTGGATAATGTCCTGGAAAGTATTTTCCAGCTTGAATTCATTCTCTCCATCACATTCAGGTACACCAATCAAGCGTATATTAGGTCTTTTCACATAGTCCCATATTGCTTGGAGACTTTGCTCATTCCTTTTTATCCTTTTTTCTCTATTCTTGTCTTGTTGTTTTGTTTTATTAAGTTGGTCTTCGACCTCTGATACCCTTTCTTCTGCTTGATCCATTCGGCTGTTTAAGCTTGTACATATTTCACTAAGTTCTCGTGTTGTATTTTTCAACTCCATAAGTTCATTTGTATTCCTCTCTGTACTGTCTATTCTTTTCAACATTTCATCGAACCTTTTTTCCAAGTTCTTAGTTTCTTTACATTGGGTTAGAACAAGTTCCTTTAACTCCCAGAAGTTTCTTATCATCCACCTTTTAAAGCCTACTTCAGATAATGGAACACAGTCCTTTTCCATCAGGGCTTGTTCCGTTACTGATGAGTCCTTTTCCATCAGGGCTTGTTCTGCTGCTGATGAGTCCTTTTCCATCAGGGCTTGTTCTGGGGCTGATGAGTCCTTTTCCATCAGGGCTTGTTCCGTTGCTGATGGGTTCTGATTTTGAGTATGCTCAGCCTTCTTAGGCTGTTTTTTTCCCTTCACTGTAGATGAACTGCCTTTCTAATTAGGTTTCTGAGTCGA